ACCCTAACCTGGGGCACACCCCTAACCCTAAAATAGGGATCAAGTTCCACTGAAGATAATGCGATTTTTTACAAGCCTCCTTTGAGAGGGTTTTTCGGCACAGCTCAACATTTCTGCCCATTCTATGCGCATTCCAACCATCAGATCCATGCCAGGACACCTCGTTTTCCTAACCCTAACACTAACCTGGGGCACACCCCTAACCCTAAAATAGGGATCAAGTCCCACTGAAGATAACGCGATTTTTTAAAAGCCTCCTTTGAGAGGGTTTTTCGGCACAGCTCAACATTTCTGCCCATTCTAAGCACATTCCAACCATCAGATCCATGCCAGGACACCTCGTTTTCCTACCCCTAACCCTAACCTGGGGCACACCCCTAACCCTCAAATAGGGATCAAGTTCCACTGAAGATAATGCGATTTTTGAAAAGCCTCCTTTGAGAGGGTTTCTCGGCACAGCTCAACATTTCTGCCCATTCTAAGCACATTCCAAGCATCAGATCCATGCCAGGACACCTCATTTCTCTAACCCTAACCCTAACCTGGGGCACACCCCTAACCCTAAATTAGGGATAAAGTTCCAGTGAAGATAATGCGATTTTGAAAAAGTTTTGAGGGGCTTTTTCTGCACATCTCATCATTTGGGGCCCTTGGGCGATGCTGGGGCGACTGGGCTCATGTGCTGGCAGAGAGGGCTCTGCGTTCCCACTGTGGATCACGTGCTATAGGTCTGCCTCACTACTCTAGCGCTGTCCTGCCAGCAAGATCCATGAGTCCGGGGAGGCCTTCCAGTGGCCGCCCCCTGTGGCTGAAAATCCCCCCTGGAAGAACTCAGGGCCTCATCACTACAGGCTTTTACCAAAACCAATACAGACACACACCCCTGGATGTCTGTGCACAGTTCTTAAAATGTGAGGACTTTTCCGTGTATATGTGTAATTGTTCTTGGTGCGTCCTGGTTTTGCCCTGTCGCAAGCAACTTTGTGAAGGCTGCGGGCCCCGAACACCAGCCCAAGCGTCATCCATGGATCCGCCGGCCTGTCCGGGGGGAGCCGGCTGTTCCGCGACGCAGTCGAGGGGCCGCCCCTTACCTCGAACCTCTCGATGGGGTCTTCCTGCTGGGCCTGCTGCTCCCGCATGGTGTGGTATTCCCGCTCGTATTTCTTCAGCTTCTTCTGGCTGATCTGAAATGAAATGCACCGTCAACAAGGCCATGCTTAACGCCGGGGTGGAAGAGCGTGGGGTTTGGTTGGGGCCTCGCCAACATAAAATGTTGAATGGACCCTGCACACGGCCGACCCAGCGCTTTGCCAAGGGCTGGGCTGCTGGAAAGCTCCTCCGACGGCATCACCCGGCGGAAGGCGGGGGCTTCCAGCCATCCGAGGGGCCTGGCCCTTGCAGGCGCCGGCTCTGCAGCGGTGCCTCAGCACAGAGGAGTGGCCTTTCACGGTATCTGGAAGGGAATGGAAAGGGCTGCCCGATCCCATGGACACATTTCTGCCCCCGGCCACGGCATACACTCCCCACCAGCTCTGGGAGCCTCTGGAGCATGTCTTTCTTTCCTTCTTTAGCAGGATCGTTTTATCTATGAGCAACCCCTCCAGACGACAGAAAAGTGAGCAAAATCACAGAAAGCAGTGTTAGCAAATGAAGCAGAACCAGGAGGAAAATTATGCAGATGCCACTGGGGGCTTTCTCATAGGGAGGCTGGTTCTGCGTTTCCCCGTGGCTCGCTTCTGCCCTGCCCCACAGCGTCTTTCAGGCCAGGCAGGAGCAGAAGGGAAGGCAGGTGAGCAGGGGCCGGCTGACCTCCCAGTGGCAGAGGGGCTTCCTCAGTCCCCCCCCCCACAAAAAACCTCCAGCTTGACAAGAGCAGCCCTCTGCGGAACCACGTCAGACACCTCCAGCTACTGGAAGGCAGTTGGGCCAAAGCGGAGATTCACATAGGACTTGGAAGTGCAATCTGCTCCACGCCCTCGCAATTTGTAGTCAGCAAAGGAAACCCACTTACACACTCCGTCTGCATTCACAGGGAGCGCGCTCGGCCCGATACTGAGGGGGTGTCCAAAGGGGCTTGCCCCACACGGCCTCAGCGGCAGAGGCGCCCATCTCCTTGCCAGTCTGAGCGGAGCCCAACAAGCAAACCCACTTAATGTGGGAAGCTCGTTTTCCTTCTCCTCCGTGAACACCAGAAGCTTTATCAGGGAGGAAGGAGCCCCGGGAAACCTGCCCTCTTGCTCCCTCTAGCGATGCCGAAGCGGAAGCACCACTGCCCGGAAGCCGCAGCGCTTCCTCCATCGGCTCCCTCGGGCTCCCTTTCGGCGCTCCGGCACACGCGGTCAAGGGGGCTGGGCCAGCTCCATGGTCCAGCGGGACGGCAAGGAAGGCCAGCCGAGCTCGCGGGGAGAAAATCGGCCCCTTGTGGCGGTGTTCCCACAGGACACGACGGAGCACGGAAGCAGTTGCGTGCTCGGCAGGGCCTGAGGGGTGCCGCAGCGCCTGCCTCCAGCAGTGGACAGGATACTGAGGAGAGCTGCTGGAGAGCATCTCGAGCCAACCTGATCCCCCTGCCGCCGCCCCATATTAGTCCTGGCCGAGCTGTTAAAACTATGTATTATATTTATATATATTTGGGTATTTTTATCCCGTCCAATTACATTGCGTGTCTCTGGACGGCTTACAAATTTGCATCCAATAAATACGTATAAACCCAAATAAACCAAGAGGCTGACCCACGGGCAGAAGGAACATGATCTTCCCCCACAGTCGCTTGGACTCACACACGTGCATGTGAGACGGGGCCTGGCAGGCCCCACCCAGCTCACCTTCATGCTGCAGGCCAGCTCCATCAGCTTCTTGGCGTTCTCCTCGGAGCGGTACCTCTTGGGCAGCTGCACACGGAAGAACTTGAGCGCACCCTCGAAGTCTGTCAGCAGCAGATCGTCCTTGCTCGTCTGAGAAAGAGGAAAGGAGGCGAAAAGGTCTTTCTTCCTTCTTGAGGGAAAGGATGGGAAAGGTACGGAAGTCTATGGATGGGACACAACTCCTGTGAGACGCTGGACTGACACTGGCATTTTACCAGGTGATGTGACAGTTTTATTTATTTAGCTTCTACACTGCCGAGAAGTCAAAGCGTTCTGCAAGTTTACCATCGCCCCTAAATGGACCCATGGTGCAATGAAAATCGCAAAATTTTCCAGATACAAAGAATTAAAAATTGGGGTTTTTTTTAGTTAACACCTAAAACAGTCTGTAATACAAGACGGACCTGTTAAAAACACCAGATATGGGAACACCCGTGAAGTCATTAGGAAATTTTAGACATCTATAAATGCCTCACTGCAGAGGGCTGCCTTACCCTGGTGTCAAAGGAAGAAAAAGTGAGCACCAGGCAAGCCTTGGCATGGAGATCTTTCCGCAGTCAGGGGGCTACCACCAAGAAGGCCATCCTCTGGGGAGTGGGGCAGGAGGCACCCAGAAGAGGGCCTCCGATGCGGAGCAGTGCCCGCAGGGGGACTGGCTGGGAGAAGCGTTCTGCCAGGCAGGCCCCGGGCTGTGCAGGACTCTACAGGTTAAAACGAGCATTCCGGATCCAGCACAGAAGCATGAGGAGGGCCAGAATTGGGGTTACGTGCTCAGAACTTCTTGTCCCAGGTACTGATCTGGCCGCTGCATTTGGCACAAGCTGCTGCTTCAGAAGCGTTGCCAAAGGCAGCCCATGTAGAGCACCTGGCAGTGACCTGTTCTAAGGAACTGTGAGAGTGCAGGTAACCAAAGCCAGGCCCCCCGTGTCCAGGGAGGGACGCAGCTGGGTCACCGGCCAAAGAAGAAATGTCAGAGGAAGCCCAAGTCCAAGGAGCTCGGCCCCACTGCCTCCACACCAAGACTGACCTCCCCACATGGCAAAAGACATGAGGGAGGGCTGAATTATGGGAACCGGCTGGGCTCCGTCCAGGTACTTACTTTTAGCAATCCGAGGGCAACGTTAAAAATGACGCTGATGCCCTGCAAAGACAGAAAAGGCAGTGAGGGCCGACAGGAATGTTCATGGCTTGCGTCCACTTCCACGCCTCAGGGATCCCCATTAAGGCCGCTCTGTGAAAAGGGGCAGGGGAAAACCAGAAGCTGCGTGGATGTGGGGGACCCAGCAATCGGCCTGGCCTTGGTGGCGCTTCTGGAGCAAGCATCGCCCACCAACACGGCTTTGTGCCGGGCGGGGGGGGGGGGCAGCACGAAGGCAGCACAGCACACGCCTGCCAAGGGCTCACCTGCTGCAGCCCTCTGGACTGGCTCTCCCTCCGCCCCCCCCCCCAGCTCACCTGCCTCCTGGAGGAGGGGGAGGCAAAGAGGGTGAGCAGGCCAGGTCACGGAGGGGGACACCTGAGGAGGGGGGCTTGCCCAAAGGCTGCCAAAACCTGGAGGGAGTGGCGCCGGCACCAGTGCAATCATCCCCAGACCTGAACTGACGCTGCAGGAGCTGGCTTCTGGCCTCCACCCGAATGGCCTCTTCTCCCTTTCCAAGGCTGGGTTTCTGTCCCTCATCGTTGTGAGCCCCAGCCTGAAATTACGCAGGCTGTTTCTGCAGCAGCCGAAAAACTGACGTTGGGCCAGAGGGGCGGCGCTCAGCGGCTCTTTTGGGCTGCAGCAGCAAGCGACTGGGGAGTGCGGGCCCAGCCGGAAAGGGACGGAACAGAGCGCTCCCCCGCCAAAGGGACACGGCAGATCTGGGCCACTTCATGCCGGTCCACGGAGAATTAATGGAAGTGGCTAATTAGCAAGCGAGTAAACAAATGATTAAAATGCCCCCCGGGGTGCTGCCGCCGGGCTGAGATGCCCTTTGCTCCCTTCTCTCTTGCAAGCATGGTTCAGACCTGCTTGCTCGAGCGCTTGCGGCGAGCGGCCCAAAGAAACAATTCACACTGCGTCACGTTCTCACAAAATTTTAGGTTAGCCTCCCCAAATCCTAAGTCAAGGATCAGAGACTAAGGCCGGGGAAAAGGTCGTGGCTCTAATGGGCCCTCCCTTTCCATGTTGTGGGGAGCACAGCCCCCCACTGGACCCCGCTAAACAACGCAGTGGCCAGGGGGAAAGTGCTAATCTTTGTGGAAGATACTGCGAGAACAGGGCACTTCCGGAGGCAGCGACAGGCACGGCCGAGTGGCTCAGAGGAAAGGGCCTGCAGAGGCGGCATGAAGGCATGGAAAAGACGCTCTGGAGGCGCTGGAGGAAGTACGAGCCCTGCCAATTCGTTCCCAGCATTTAAAAGCAAATCTGGGGCTTCGTTGGGCTTAATTTGAGGCAGCCCATGTGAAGAGCAAGTCCTTCAGTGAAAATCAGTGGGACGCACACTGACCAGACCGATTGTTCTCCAGGTTATAAAGAAGCGTGGAAAGCTCTGATCTACCACAGGTAGATAGGATGGACCTACGGACACTCTCCCGTGGATGAGCAGAGCCGAGCATGGTGCACCTTGGGGGCGGGCAGAAAGGAAGATCCCACCTCTTGACTCCAAGTGCTCCTGACGCTTGGCGATGCAGCACAGGCCTCTGGGAGGGCAAGTCCAAAACCCAGAAGCCCACCTTCCGCCTGCGCCTGGTACAACCGTCTCTTCTCCTGTGCCAAAAATTTACTGCTCTTCCTGCGGGCCAAGGACTTCCCCCAGCTCAGGACTCGCGTAGGGGAAAGGCACCCGGGGCCCCTCCCGGCCCCTCTGCCCACAGCTGTTCTGTTTCTCGTGGCACCCAACCGTGTGCCAGCCCTCCTGGCTGCTCATGGCTCAAATGCTCAACATGTTCCAGGACATCTGAATCATTTCCTTCCTGCTAAGGCTGATTATTTGGGCAGGGCCTCCGAGAATTTCGGGGAGGCATAAGAGCTGAGCTCCTTCCACAGCTGCTTAATGTCCAGACCGTGGCAGCAACAATAAGTGGATTCCATGAAGCAGAAGATTAGCATCTGCCACGCAGAAGAAATAACCCAATGACCGGAAGTCATGACGCCGCGTCTACAAAACACTGAAGGGGTTATTCATGGAAAGGGCCGTATTTCGGGAAAGCGCTCGTAACTCTTTTGTTTAAGAGTGCCAGAGAGTGCTCCTCTGGTCCGAGGCAGTGTCTGCAGGGCTGCAGCATGACTCAGAGTCCCAGTGTCAATGCTGGGAGGCTAACCTGACGCTGGGACTCCGGGCTGAACAGGCCCTGCCCTGCCCTGCCCTGCCCTGTTCTCCAACATTGCAAAAGCGACCTTGGAGGTGAGGCCTGTCTGGAGCAGGGAGCGCCTCGCATCCTGCAACGGATGAGCATCATCTTCCGCGTGCAGCAGGTTAGGGGCATCTTCGACAGGTTTTGCCTGCAGAGCTTCTAGTGTGCTCGGTTTTCAGGTTGGGAATCCATCTGAGCAAGGCCTGGGTAACGTCAAAGATGGGACCCCGTGCCCCAGGACTGCGGGTGGCTCCACCTACCTCACACAGCAGCAGGTCGATGATATGGAAGACCATGTAAAGGGGGAATTTGGCCGTGAAAAGGGTGAGGAACCACTGCGACGCGTACATGTGCGCTTCGAGGCTGATATCCAGGAAGTGGCTGTACAGATCAGGAATGTACTCCTCGGGTGGGAAAAAGCAAAGGCAGAACGTCAGGCTGCGGCGAGGAAGTGACGGCGTGTATGTCTGACGACGGCTCCTATACACCGTCCCCCGGGCACGTCTTGGGAACGTGCCGCCTGTGGGAGGAGGCTGGCGAATGGCCTTTACCTGCATGAGGTGCTCCAGCTGGTAGAACTTGCAGTGCAGATCTTCAAAGTTCTGCTTGAACAACTCCCTGAGTCCATAGTCAAACATGATTTTGACCAGAACGCTGAAGGCCTGCTCTTCAGGCATCTGTCAAGGAGAATCAGAGCACGGAGCAGGCGTTTTGTTTGCACTTCCCGGGGCAGGAAGAAGCCCCGCGGCCCCCGCGGCCCCGCGGGGAAGGGCCGGGCGTTGCCCTGCCGAGCGTGCGGAGGGAGCACCCCACGAGCCCGAGGCCCCTCAGCACAGCAGGCGGACGGGGGTCCTCCCGATGCTCCGAGCAGCGGCTCCCATCCGGCCACTCGCCCTCGCCTTCCAGGCGGCCGCACTGGGCACTGCCCAGGTGTGCTCAGGGCCACAACAGCGGGTGCCGCCCCAAAGGCAGGGAGCTTTCAGAAGTCCCAAGGCCTGCCTGGGCTTTCTTCCCCAGAGAGGGAGCACGTGGTCTGATCTTTTTTTTTAACAGTGTGCCAAGGTGCCCCTCCTCATCAAGGCCCGCAGGAGGTACTTCTGGGAGAGTGGAGCCCCACCCCACCCCACCCCACCCCGGCCCAGCATCCTTCCCCTCCTAGAATCTCCAGCTGGGATTCAGCGACTGAGCACCCCATAGCTTCCTTTCGGAAGCGCCCCAGAGTCCAACCGAGGCCGAGTTTTGACTCCGCTTCATAAGGGCAGCGCAGCTCTGCCTGCAGCGAGGCAGAGCAGCACAAAGGAGTTTATTCTCTGGGCCCTCACACCTTCCCCCCGAGAGCAGTGGAACGGCCTCCTCAGCGACCATCCCAGTATTTGACGTGTGTCTGGAATATCTTTCTGCATTCTTCTTGGGTAATGGGGGGTGGGGGGGGGAGAGGATGCTTTTCTGTCAACCTGGCAAGAAGTCTGTTTTTTCAGAGAAGCACTGGGTCTCTCTGTATATTTACTTCTGTCCAGAGGATGGTACAGTCATCCCTGAAAAGAACCAAAGGGCTGGGAAAAAAACCTCTTTTTGTGAGGGAAGAAAAGAAAGACGAATGAGCCGGAAGCTCTGCACAGTGTCATTCGGCAACTGTCAGCAGAGACAGCTTGTTGGGAAAAGAAAACCGACGACAACGTGGAGCTGGTTTAAAAATAACTTTTGGAAATGGCAGAAAGAGAAATCAAGCGTTGGAGGGAAACACAGCACAAAGCATTCTGCGTCTCTGCAGAAGCAACGCGCGGGCTCGACGGGGCTGGGCCACCTGCCAAGCAACGTGCCGGCCACCGCTCCGGCACTCCGGGGCGACAGAGGCCCGGCTCCCTCGCGGCTGCGGGAGAAGGCTTGCGCCCAGCGGCCCGAGGGGCACCCCGACGGCCCGTGGAGCCTCACACAATTCCTGACTGTCCTCTTTCTGACTGCACCTGACAGAGGAAGCCCAGCCACCCCACGCATTGCGAAAAGACCCCAGTTAGACGCCAGGCTGCTCTCCTTGCCTTAGGTATGTCAGCTCTGAGGCATCTTTGGCTCACGTGTTCGCAAGCGGCTTAGAAACACGGTTCTGCGAACATCCACCGTGCTCCTTAAATGAAGCAATCCTTTCGTTTGAAAAGAGGGGAAGGGGAGTGGCGGATGCCATCGCGCCAGGCTGGCGGGGAGCCCTACTGGATGGCGAGAAGCACAGGCGTTCCCCAGTCCACACGCTCACACGCCCTGCGCCACTCCTCCCAGGCCCATCTGCCCCAAGCTGCCCAGCCCAGCACCCGCCTGCCCAGGGTTCAGAAGGCCCACCAGCCCCGAATCGCCTGCATGCGCTCGCTCCTGGGAAGCCGGGGGCACAGGGCGGCACAGGAGCTGCAGCAGAGGTCCCGCAGTCCACCCCGGGACCCCCCCGTGCAGCCTCCTCCCGCTTCAGGACGTCCGGCAGGACTTACGTGCAGAAGCAGCACCGCCGCCAGGAAGGACTGCCCCTGGCAGTAGCCGATCTCCTCATCGTAGACAGAATAGGCCTGGGGAAGGAGAAGGGGAGCGGCAAGGGTCAAGGAGGCGCGGCCGCGGACACCCACCCCTTCCCGCGAGGCCCCCGCTCCCCGAAGTCCTCCTCCAGCCTCGCCTGTGCACCCAGGCCCCGTGAGACGGAGCCCGCTTCTCTCTCCCGCAGCCTCCCCCAGGAGGGCGGCCCTGCTCCTGTCCGGGCATCACGGCTGGGCTGGCAGCGGGGAGACCCGTCCCGGCTCCCCCTACGCTGGGCAGCCACACAGCAGGTGCTCCCCAAGGAGAGCAGGCGCCCCCACCCGGGACAGGGTGGTGCGCTTACACAGCACATGCAGTGGGATCTGCGGGCCCTTCCAGCAAGGCGGGGGCCTGCGGAGACCCTCGCGATTGGGCGTGGTGTAAGGAGAAGCAAGAGAGTCCTCAAGGGCCGGCGTCGGGCCGGGGGTCCGGCTCGGCCCCTTTGCGCCACTCGGCGGTGAGGAGAGGCGTGGGAGGGGCACGCGGCCCACGTGCCCCGGATCTGGGATCTACCCGACTCGCCGGGCTCGCCAAAGAGGCCGGCTGCTGCCAGGCTCCGCGTCCTTCCGAGGGGTCTGCCGCTTTCCAGAGGAACGCGAGCACCCGAGGAAGCTTTTAAGCCACCTGGCGGCCTTTGATTCGAATATCAATTATACACAAGGAACGGGCGAGCGCGCTGCTTTTTTCGGGCCCTGGGCTGCGGCCTACGCCGAGCTCATTGTTTTTTAATGGCGCATTTGGACAGAGCGCTTCGGAGGAGGCCAGGAAGCCGAGCTGCTTCCCCGTGCCAAAGAGTCTCCAGAGGAGGAGAATTCAAAAAGCCGGATCCTCCGGTCAAAGACGGTGAGGGGATCAAAAGCAGAGCACAGCCATTTTTTTGACCTGCTAATTGCCTCCGGCATTTTAATGAGTGGCTTGAATGTGCCTGTCGGCGCCTTATAATGCAAATGAGGAAGAGAAGAAATGCGCTTGAGCCCTAGAGAGGACCAGGGAGGCGCTGCCAATTCCTCTCTGCTTGGTGCCAAACTTAACGCACACATCCTGTGGGTGCTGGGAGCCCACACGATCGGGGGACGTTGTTCCGGCGGCACGCTCTGAGGCAGAGGCCTCTCTCAAGAGGGGCCAAGGGGCCTCGCTCTCCGGCGGCGACCCCCATGGCTCGCCCACGGCAAGGCTGGTGTTGTACAAGGGGACCTGCAAAATGGAGATGCTCCAGGGCCGACACCTGCCTCCCCCACCAATATAACGGCATTAACGCAAAGCTGCTGCAGGACGAACGGCTTGGGCAGCACAGCTGAGTCGCCAGCCGCAGCTGCCGGGAAGTGCTACCCCGCTGCGCGTCTTGCCCCGACCCCTGCCCCAAAGGCTGCTCCCAGGCGGCACAGCTGAGCCACCCCAGGGGAACCCGAGGGGCCCGTGGCCATCCCGTTTTGCCCAGATGCCGGCAGAGAACATCTGCAGCCGGCCCGGCACGCTTCCTCAGCGGCGGTGCCGACGGCGCTCCCGGCCCACAAGGGCTCCAGAGTGGCGCGCGTGCCCCGTACCTTGCAGATCTTGTACAGGGAGTCCTGGCCGTCTCCCCCGGTGTCCTTGAAGTAATCATGGGCAGGGAAGGTCCGGTTGATGTCGCGTGTGATGGCGCTGTCCTGGGGAGACTCCTGCAGGCCGACGACAGGGAAAGAGAACAGGCCGTGAGGGGTGCGGGATGCGGCGCAAGCGTGCGTGGAGGCCGGCATGTGCTTGCCAGGGCGAGCGAGGGCCCGGGGAGGCTGTGCTGCTGCCGACGCTTCTGTGCCGATGGGCCGAATGGAGGTGGTGAAAAGAGAGAGAGAGGCCCCTTTGCCGGGGCAAGCAAGCGCCAATCCAGCACGACATTTTCGGGTCTAAACAGCGAGGCTGGGCGGCGACAAGCTGCCGATTCTTCTCGCTGCGAAGAGGCTTCCCTTCGAACGCGGAAGCCCAACGCCAGCGGATCCGTGCAAAAAGCTGGCATGGCCCAGCACGTTCGAGATGTGCTGGACTACAACTCCTATCACATGCGCCGGCATGGCGCAGGCCCGGGTAGCTGGTGTGATGGGAGTTATGCTCCAGCGTGGCTGAAGAGCACCGCGCTGGGGAAAGCGGAATGCCTGGCCCCTGGGGGTGGGGTGCGGTTTAACACGCCAGAAGTCCACCACCCTTACCAGTCCACGGGGGGCCTAAAAGCGTGGGGCCACGGGTGCCTCCTGCCCCACCTGGCCAGTATCGCAAGCGCCAACCGGCAGCAACGGACCCCTCACAAGGGCCCGGGAGTGGGCTGCGCGTGGGAGCTTGCGTGCAGGCTGAGCCATGGGCCCTGGGGAAGCTGCCCAGGCCCACCCGGCCGTGTGAGGAGGCCCACCCAGCGAGGGCTGCAGAGGGAGCGTGGGGGCTGCAGTCCGGGGAGCCCTCCGGGCCGGGCCGGGCTGGGGAGCCGCTGTGTCCACTGCCACGCGACGGCCAGGATCCCCTTTGCCGCAGCAGGCCATGCCAGCAAATGGGCCCGGGGCCGCTTCCGCCCTCTCCACCCCGCAGGAGAGCGTCTCCTCCGCCAACACGCTCTGTGGCGCCGGCAGCCTGCTCGGGTTCCCAGCTCTGCCCCGGACTTTGCACGCCCCCCAGAGGCTGTCGGGAGACTCGCGCCCCCGTGGCACGGCGCTGGTGTCCGAGTGGGCACTGCCCGGCACGTGGCTCTGGCGCTCGCAGGCAGGGGCACCCTCGTTCCCGCTCCTCTGTGTGCACGGCAGGACGGTCCCCCGAGGCTGCCTCTGGGGCACCCTGGGCAGGGGCGGATGCCCCTCCGCCTGCCACTGCTCTGTGGTGGCGCGTGAAACTTGCCGGCTGGGGCAACTTAAGATGAGCCACATCTGTGGGTCGGCAGGGCCTGCTCCCCCTTAACACCCGGGCGGCGCAGGAGCATCAGGCCCCGACTCTCTGAACGAGGGCAGGCAGAGCGCTCGGCTTGTCGCGCGGGTGGCAAGGGGCAAGGGGGCCAGTGGTCAAACGCTCCCAAATTCCAGCAAGTTATTTTGAGCGGCACCAAATCTGGAGTGCTGTGCCTGGCAGCTTCCGACTGGCAGAGCCTAATGCGCCTGCCAAGCCCGCAGCTGGCGTGCAGCGAGGGAGGGGAGGTGGGTTCGGGAACAGGCTGTTGCCGTGGGCCGCAGCCAGCGAACCGAAGACCGGGGGAGGGCCGCGACCCCCTGCCTCTTGGGATCGGCGTCCTGGCAAGCGGAAGACCCGCCTTGCTCCATGCATCAGCCAGAGAAGGAACAGCTGCAAGGGGTTTGCTCTGCCCGTCCCAGCCAGAACCAGCCTGCGTGAAACCTTTGAACCCGATCAATGGCGGCTGCCCGAGCCTCTTCCCCTCCCAAGCCCCTTTCCTTTTTTGTCCTCCTGTTTGGACGGCCAGCCTGGGGGAAGGGGCGTTCTCATCACGAACCTCTGCAACCTGCTCTGGGGACCCCGATGGGCTGAAAAGTGCAGCAAAATACATTCCAAATAAATAAGGAGCGCCGAGATAAGGCTGGCACCTGCATCCCTCTTGGCTTACAGCTTGGTCATGGGGTTTGGGACCTGCATTCAGAGGGTTGTTTGGCAGCAGGGACATTCAGTTTGGGGACGGAAAAGGGAAAAAAATCTACGGAAATGATAAACTTTTATTATTTTTTTTCAACTGAGGCTGGGTAGTACAAACAAGTGCAACTCGACCATTGTGTAATAAGTCCTCTGCCTCCTATTTTTATACCTTGCTATGAGAATTGGCTGGCCAGGCCAATTCTCAGGCTGCCAGGGGGGCGAAGGAAACCCCTGCAGGCACACGCCCTGCGCAATCTGGGTTGGAAATAGAAAGCAATAAATGGCAGGAAGAAGGAAAGGAGGAAAGGCAGGAGAGAAAGACAGGGAGAGACAGACAGGCCGGCCGATGGACTGCAAGGCCGTTGAGAAAATGGAGAGGGAGGATGTACTGTGCCCATTACCAAAAAAATCCACAGCAGAGTTCCTTGTTGGGGGAGCTCAATGGGAGAAGAACTGGCAGGATTACGGGAGGAACCAGCTCTCCCGCGTTCTGGCGACTTCTAGAGCCCAGATCCATGCTAGGCGCTGCATAACGGAATGCCTGACCCTCTTCTTCTTGAATTTGCCGGGGGAGACAGTGCTGCCAAAGACCTTCTTGAAAGGAGAATGTCCTGGCATGTATACTTGCCAGCCACTGAGTGCTAGTCTGGCTTGAGAGAGTCAAAAATATTTGGTGTAGATTAACCCGGAGCAGCATTACAGAAAACTCGGCAGCCTGGCTACTGCAGTTACCTTAGATGGCTTTTTAAAAAAAGAATTATGACAAGTTCGTGGAGAATGAGGATGGGCTTAGTAATACTATTAGCAAGGGCTTGAAATGCATTCAAAGGGCCACCTCCAGCCCAGCACCTTCTTCTGGCACAGAAAAACTCACGTGCCTCCTTTCCCGTTCCCTCCTCTCCCTGCTCCTGGCATGCCTTGTCTTCTTAGTTTGCTCAGGCTAACTCCCCCTCTTCATTGACGAGATCTGCTTCAGGAGACAACGGTTCGAATCGCAAGATGGAAGGCAGCAATGAACTGTATGCCGTACTGATGGAAATGTATTTCTCCATCAGCAGAACCTCCATATTCTGGGCTTGTCTACCTCTGACTACCAGATAGATGCTCTGGGGTGCAGAGTGCTACCCACACTCCAGTCATGTGACTGGAAACAGAAGACAGCTGCGTGACCACATCTGGAACCCTGCAGGCAGCTCTGGTCTGCTGTACTTCAGAAGGGAAACCGCCGGGCTGAGGAAGGTGGCAGCAAAAGGCCATCAAAACCATCAAGGGGACGCAGTGTCTCCCGTATGAAGGAGGATCGCAAAATCGAGGTCTTCTGAGCGGGAGGAAAGGCGATTGAGTGGAATTATGGATGCCAGAAGATTTGGGATGGAGAGGGAGGAGGACAGCACAGAGTTCGATAGCTGAATTCACTGCCCCAGGATGCAGGTGCCAGGCCCCAGGTGTGGAGGGCTTACGCGGGGATCGGACACATCCACGGTGGAGACGGCCCTCCACGGCTACCAGCCCCAAGGGCTACATGACAGCCAGAAAGGCCACCGTCCACTCAGGACTGCCTTACCATTAGCCAGGTGAGGCGGTCCCTTCAGGTGGCAGGTGCTGGGAGGTGGCGGCGGCAGGACTGTGCGCCCCCCGAGTGAGCCGGCCGCCTGCAAGTGCGGTGCGAACGTTGTCCCCTCCCCTGCCAGTCCGGCCAGTGCGTGGCCCTGCACCGCCTCCTCCGTCACCTGGGTGGGCAGCGAAACGTGCCCACCCAGCCCTGGCCAGCCAGGACCGGGAGCGTTCCTGGGAGGGTGGTGTGGCCCCCTCCTGCTGGCCGGGTTCTCTCTGCGGCATCTGGCTGCTCGCAGCGGGAACCGAACGCTCGGCCTGATGGGCCTTCCGTCCGGTTCAGCCGGGCCCCAACAAGCCTTCTTGGACAGGCAGGGTGCCGCCCAGGGCCAGCCCCATCATCCCGGCCAGCTTGACCTGGGGCAGGTCCAGCAAGCCGGTTCCCAAAACAGCTAGTTTTGTATGGAAGCCATGGCCAACCTCTAACCCAGGAGCATTCCCATGAGTTTATCATCCATGTGCCAGACCGGGGCGGGGGGGGCGGGGGGGGGGCTGCCCCACAAAGCCACCCAACTTTATTTCCGGAAACTCCAATTACAGACCAAAGGGGCATTTTCCACTGAAACAGAAATACTACTCAGAAGAACTGTGCAATCGATGGCCCCTTGGTCACCTTTCCCAGGCAGCGAAAATCCTCTAAAAGCAGCCGGGATTATCGGGCATCTCCTTCTGCCTGTTCTTGGGTTCCATGTCAGTGAGATATATTTTAATAGGATACTATGCTGCTTTCCTTCTGAATGCATGTTATCCTCTTGGGAAACAGGAGTGAAGAAAGAGGCTGAAATCCAGCACATACGCATGTCTCTCTTCTGTCTTGGAGCGGGGAACGCTGACGAAAACCACACCTGTGCAGAGTTTTCATCCCACTAATCCCACGCATGCACACAAACACCAATTGTTAGGAACTGTATATGGGTACTGCAGTTATGTAGTTACAGAAAGGTTTCATGCAGGTTCTGCTGAATTCTTCAAAGTCATGTCCAATTCGGACCAGGTAAGAATGATCAGTCAGCAGCTACGGGATACAATAAAGCTCCAATATGATATGAATTCAGGCCAAATATGGCAATAAATCCGATTCTAAAAATAAGAGTGAATCCCCAAGTGATAGCCAGCCTCTTCAGCTGGGCTTGTTTCCTTTTAGGGCTTCAGTTTCCCACAGGAAAAATCATAAGTAGGCACTTGGTGAAAGAATAAAAAAAATAAAAATCAAAGCTCTCCTGACTTTGTGCATGGATCCGGCACAACTTCAACGGAAAATGCCTGGTCACTGTTTTGATGCCAGAGGCAAAAACGTGGCAGCCAAATTTATCTTGCTGGACATTTAAGGAGGAGAATGCGAAAAAGGTAAAAGGGAAAATAAGAAAGAAGTCACTTGTGTGTCGCTTCACTCATGAGTTTAAGCTGCTGGACACGGCAGCAGGCCGTGTGAAAAAGCAAAGACAAG